TGGCTTTTTCTTCTTGGTTGATGACATAAATTCTTTTCCAGTTTACACTGAAACGAATCTTCGCACAAAAGAGACGATGACCGAACCTAGTAAAAATGATGGAACTATCGATGTGTGAAGTAGGCATCATCTCCTGTTAGTAAGGATACGGCACCTATCAGCGATTATTCTCTTTTCGAAAAATGGGTTCCGATGGAAGAGATGCGCTGCGGGCAAGAGTCCGGAAAGACGGTTGCCATTTCCATTTCGATCTCTTGTTCCCAATTTTCTGGGTCTGCATTAATTCTCTTTGTCTCTTCTTAATCTAGCATTGAAGCCTCCAACAGCGAAATGACAGGAGAACTTCTAGTTGCGGATAACGTCTTTCAACTGATAGTAGAAAGCACCTTATTCGTACTGTTCGGCTGGAACGATCGGTGAGTGACAGTTGTTGATAGTGGTGTTCTTATATCGAAGAAGAATGATGGGCAGGTGAGTCGACAAGATAACACAGTGGACAGGTGGACTACAAAGCCTACGCCATCAACATTTCGTGACAGAAACTTTTCTACACATATGACAAGCGTCGTTGTAGACCAGAATTTGATATGATTTGAGGCGTGAATATCGGTGTCTGAGGAGAATGTGAGTTACTATGAGCAGCCAGGATGAAAAACTGAGTTATAGAACAAAAGTCACAATAAAGAGGCAATACTTAATAACTCAAAAGACCGACTTTCTATGAACCTTAGCATAAATAATCATTATACGTATTTATATGTTCTTATGAACTTATGGGTGCATGTGGCGCAGTGGTTGGGGGTGTTACTGCGACACACACGTGGAATCGATGGAAGCGCCAGACTCCTAAGCTTGGGAGACCTTGCCAGGGTGATAAATCCCCCGCTGTACATCGCACGCCAACACCCAGAAACACCTTCCAGCCACGATGAGGCCGTAAACCGTTGAGAGAGACTAAAACGATAGGATTCCTAAACGAGTAATGACATATAGTTAAAGTCTATCAACAAGGTAGGAGATATTATTGGTCTACCTAACTGTATAGGTTAGCGGTTCTGAGGTGAAGGAATTTACATTTGACACATTGATATCCGACAATGAGGAGTTTTAGGTGCCCATGAATAAGGCCTATGAACGTTTGCTTGCGGAAACAAAGTACAAAGCGGCAAAACTCTAGGTTTAAACGTTTGACTGGCCCAACATCACGGCGATACATGCTAATCTTAGAGCAGTTTCCATACGACATATATGTCGTATGTTCAGAAAGTTTTCTTCGATTAAACTAAATCTTTTAAAGATGTTGTTGATGGTCATTTTTTAGAAACAAGTGGGGTTCATGTACCAAAGTGGTTAGAAGTGCCCTGTAATACAGACTAGATCGTTCGCTTGTTCAAACTCGTGCCACGAGCTCCCCTCCATTCTTGACCCGCATATTGGCACCAGACTTGTCTGAGAGAATAAGAACACTGAGTTAATACACCTGGAGACCTCCGCATGTTATTATACAAGCCAGCTATGCATTCAGTCAGCTCTAGAATGATACGAATGGAGGTGCATGCATGGTGCATCTCTTAAGGGTTTGTTTGTGCCGACAGTTTCATCTTTTTTATCCTTAGAATAAGTAAACTCCCTTTTAAATCTTACCATGCTTGGGTCTTGAAAAAGCCAATTGACGCATGTAGAATTATTCCTTGACGTAACGCCACGATTACCTGTAAAGAAAAGCAACTGCGTCTACTACATCCTGAGTTTTTGACTTCTATAACGTTCGATTACAAAGTACACTATTACAAACTTAGAAAAAAATGCGGAAAAGAAATTAGAAGAGGATTTCTTAGGAAGTTCGCCAATGAGTCTCTGAAATTTCCAGTATCGACGTAGCAAGTTTGTGTGTCTGACGAGGTGTTACCAGTTTCCCAAGGTCCATAGACATTAGTCATTAAGATTACAAAATACCGTAGGAGAACAACGCAAACTATGAGTTGCGCACGCTTCTTAATTTAACCCACTTAACCACATGCATTGATATAAATGCACGTCCTTTGCGACGGTCTCCCTTACCAAAAAGGGTGCATTTCTTACAGAATACCACTTTACCTCTGAACGGCCCTGTGAATTTTCTCGATACATACATCATTTCAAACCTAGTATATTCTGCCGAAGTTCTTGGTGATGAGGTTGATCAATGGCCAAATCTTGCACGCCCTACCTTGTCTGCTACAAGCTGCGTTGCCGCCAAAGTGGAGGTTTGTAAATAGGCTTCCAGATCACCTGATTATAATAGTGTCAACAACAGGACAGCATGCGAAAGCATTATTAGCACTTCAATAATTCCATAGCCGCGATAGCCAAACGACGCCCATTTTAAGTTAGGAGCCGATGAATCTTCCCACCTCGTCAGTTATTCTTTTAGTAGTAGTGCTGCTTCCATCAAGAAAGACGTTGTTTGGCATTGCATCATCTCACCACTCACCGCTGAAATCTTTAACGTGCTCATCTACTCCATCCGATCAGCTTTCTTCAGTCCGTTTGACAAAAAGCACAGGAGGATTCACAACCTCTGTTCACCTCTAACTACGTCTTTGCCACTCTCGATGAGAAGTCGACTGAGATGTAAGTTGAAGTTTTCCTCGTCTGCCATAAAGATAGGGATAGCTGAGGAAGAACGTGAGAAGCGATAAGAGGGGACCGACGGAGGGAGTAAAGAATGACGGTGACCTTACATACCCTTATCTTCTAGAGTACTCTTCAAGAGTTGAAGAACGATAAGTATAGTTTCTCTGCTGGAATCAACGAAATTTCGCCAGATTTTTGAAGAAGCCACTTCCTGAATTTGTTGATTGATAGTTATTTCCAATTTATACGACCTCGAGAACAACTACACCTTCCAGCAATCGTACCACATTTGAAACGAAAAAACTGTCAGAACGTGCAGATCTTCGCTAACACAAGATATGTTTTCATAGGCTGGAATTTGAAATGACTTCAGACCACACTTTAGGAAATCCAGTGATCTTTTCTAAGTGATACAGCGAATTCTCTTCTATAAATATGTCAAGTTATCAACTTCTTAACGATTGTAAATAATGCCGCGTGTAACGCAGTGGACGGAGGCTCCCGGCAACACATATGGGATCGATCCCGGTGCTCGAGGCCCACCAAGCCCTCCATCACTCCGAGGTCGGCAAATCGGTACCAGACCTGCCTGGGAGGATAGCAGCACTGGCTCGATACATCGGTAAGCCACCCAAGTCATTGTAAAGGTCAGATATGCATTCAATCACCTCAAACGATGCTTAATGAAGTCGAATGCATGGCTTATCCCTCAGGGATAGATCAAGGCCGAGAGCTTTATCCTTTATCACCGCTTATGTAGGACACACGAAGCTCAGTGTTTGGTCGGTAATGCACTGTTTCTCATTTCTAGTTCTCATGGTGTGGAATGGTCGGCTGAAAGAAATACCGAGACTGATTCAACACAAGTCGCAAAACCCTTCCAAATGCTGATATTAGCGCGTTTAGCATACGGAGTGTGGCCAGATACACTACACGCCAACACGGTTGCGCGTCTAGCAGGATAGAGCAAAACCTCTTCTATAGGTTCCTGACGTTCTCAACGCTATAGGTCCTGTAGCTGTCGAGGACTCATAGTTTGTTCTCGGAAAAAGCAGCATGTGGGCGTTAACGTTCATCCTAGTTGAACGTCGCGGACGAGTTCGCCGTTTCCCCGCCCCACGTAGTCGTCGGTGTGTGAAGCGACGAACCCATCGACGGCTTTCCCACGTGGTTTCGAACTAGGGCGTTTCTCTTTCTACGAATAGATTTCACTTTGTCATTCCTTCACATATAGTCTACACTTCAGAAAAACTGACAAGCTCGTAGATGTTTGAGTTTTAATGTCATTTTTTAACGTTTTGTTTTTCTCCGTGCTCCTAGATATCTCGTCGCCAGACGAATATTATATCCTACATTGTGGCATTCCAGATGTCTGGGCAACGCCCCAAGTTTCGTTATGTTTGACAGATGTGGTTTTAACAGCGAAGGAAGTAGTAAGTGTAGTAACTCAATAGTAAGAATTTGAATTGTAATAGTTTAGAACGAATTGATCTGTATGGCGCAACGGCTTGGCAGTAGTAATAGTTCAGTTAGCATTCGACAAACTAAGCGGAAGTGTGCAATCTTCCAGGAAGCATGCGAATTCTGGCACACGATTGCTGCACACTGAGCTTTCAGCTAGAAGTTTCGAGTTCCTTCTCAGACTGGAAAACTATCGTTTCTAGGGAACCCCACCATCATTGTACGTCGAAGTTGGGGACTCACGAGAATAGTGAAGTTCGAAAAGATTCGGTTCGGTCTAAAAAATAAATTTCGTATACAAGAGACATCGATTGGGGTGGGATGGGGAAGGTAAAGCAAGCAGTTGGTACTTAATGTTTTCCAACATTAGCTCGTCCGCAGTGAATGAGTACCTTCAATCTTTATACGTGTTCCAGAAGATGAAACTATTGCTCTAGTCTTCACAGTATGAATGCTCGTATTACCAGGATATGAACAAATGCATTTAGATCAATAGTGCTTCGAACAGCTTGCTTGTAATTTGTAACTGTAACCTGCTTGTAACATCTCGACAACTTGTAAATGGATTGCCATTATGCAGACATCGGAAGTTCGAAAAGTGTTCTTAGTGATGTCATTAGAGTTATTCCATTTGGTTTTACGGTGTATAACCTTCCATCGGTCAGCACTTGCTCATCTCACATCGGACACGACAAAATTGCTGTGAGGGTAGAAGGTACAGTCGTGACTACTTCCATAGTAAAGGTGTTCGTCTACCGCACAGTGAAAGATTTCATGAAAAAGGAATACTACTTGGTTCTTTCTTGCCAGTTAGGAAGACCCCCTCGAATTCGGCCTCGTTTACGAATCCATCTTTCCACTTGCGTTTTGTGTGTGTGACGGTTTGTCAACATGCACATCCTTGCCTAAGACGAATTCCAGATATGACGTCGGTGAGTGACCTCTTCACACCTGTTGATGAGTTGAGGTTGACAGAGCCATACTATTCGACCGGTGGTCTTCCGGTGAGTGCAGGGACAACGTTCAGTCAGGTGTGGTATTTTTAATTAAGTGACGTTATTGTTCATAGCACAGAGTGCGTAACAATAGTGAATTTCTTCGAAAAAATTAAATATTTAGAAAACCCCAGTTATGGTGCTCGATGAAGCAGCTCGTCGTGTTTATGGAGTTCCTCCAGATTACCAATTGATTAGCGAGGTTGTATCCACTCATTTCTTGAATTTCATGGATGGTGACGTCATATGCGAAAAAGTTCAAATTGGAACAAAATCGTAGTGATTTAAAGCAGAGTAATGAGCTTTTGCATATCGTTTACATAAATTTTTGCGTTGAAGACTTTTGCGGGTTGTTGTTTTCCTCATCAGGACCAATATTTTTCGACACTGAACGCAAGTTATTTTTGTATCCATTCCCACTTTCAATGTTCCTCATGGCATTTCTATAGTGAAAGACAGTGAACACAGTGTAGACGTTGTAAAGGACATAAAACGTCGAGTGCATAATTGCAAGGTCCAGTTTCAGGTCCCCGCTTTTGGTTTTTCTTGTCGCTTAATGAACAGGAGCGCGACAGGATGTGGAAAAACGAAAAAGGCGGCGAAACATCAAGCTGCACGAGCTCTGCTTCATGAACTGATCGAAGCAAACCTACAATTGGAATTTGGTATTCCAGGAGAAACTAAACAAGCTGCACATCAAGCAGTGTCAGTGCAGAGTATTAGTTGCTCATCACAGCATATCTAGCCTGGGAACAGTCTATTTCAGAGATGGGCTTGCGGTTGGTGATGTTCGAGTTGAACCATCAGACGAAGATCTTCCGCCCTCTACTGGACAGAATGAGAATCACTCAGGGAAGCTCTTGCAACTGTAGGTCTTTATTTGCGTTAAGCTTAAAGTTGCAAGCACTTGTGATAATTAGGTGTTATTCAGTTGTCATAAGAACAAACTCGAAGCTCCTGAGTATAGTTACAAAGAAGAAGGCCCTTCAAACGACCGTACATTTACAACTACTTGTAAGGTGAGATACCAATACCTGGAAATTTCAAAATTTCGGGCATTCATAGCAGACGAGCTTATTTTGAGTTCTGTTGGACCTGAAGGCTAACGTGATTGTGCATTTTCAATTTTTCTGCGGTGGACATCCATGTCCTCCCAACGGTTTACCGCGTCATCGTGGCTGGGAGGTGTTCCTGGGTGTCGGACTGTGATCTGCAGCGAGGAATTCATCCCTACGGCGGGGTCTCTTATGCTGAGAAGGTGTCCCACGTTTCCATCAGGAAGTTTAGATAAGAGTAAACTAATGCCAGATCTGCCACCGCCCTGCTATCAAACTAGTCGGTGGAAAATCTCCCTCTGATCCACAAGGGCGGCGACCCCATGCGGTGGTGACAACCTGAAGCAGACCTAGGCCGGGTTGTCCTCGGGACTCTAGGGAACCACAGTGCCTAAACCAGAGCATCTCCGAAGAACGGAAGTGATGCTGGGATCCGCACAACCAGTGAGGACGGGCCATCCAAGTAAAGACATCCATATGGCTACTTGGGAATTATTAACATCATGAAGAAGAAGAGAATCTTTTGTTCCATCAGTGAGCACTTGTTGTTTGAATTTTCAGTAAAATAGTAGTTTGATTTTCTCTCTTTTAACTAAACCCTTTGCATGCGTTTGTTTTCCTTTTTAGGTTGGCGGTCAAGAAGTTGTAGGAGTGGCGAAAACAAAAAAGGTTTCGAAAAATATCGCTTCACAAAAAATGCTCGCTATCATAGAGAAAGGCATTGTTAACATGAATAAGGAACCTGATTTAGACCGAGGTGCGTTGATTCCACAATTTTGTCACTTTATTTCGTCTCCCATGAAGAGAACTGGGAGAAGGTCCAAAAATTGGTGTTGGCAAACGGTAGCCACGTGAATGTGACAAGCACAACGTATGAAAATATCTTCTTTTGTATGAGGTTTTTTGAATGCATATAAGTGAGACGTGCTTGTGGTCCACAACTCTCGGCTGATGAGTGGTTTGTGAAATTTAATTTCGACTATTTTTGCTTTTCATTTTATGTGGGTTAAAGGGTTATCATGTGGAGCGCCTCTGTTTTATTTGCATTTTGTCAATTTATAGCATAGGAAAATGTAAATCTGTTTTTACCCGTCGTGATAGTCCTTGTGGTATTATGAAATTATCTTAAAAGGCGTAATAATTTTAACCCAATGTATTTTTTGCTGAACTGAATGCTTTAGCATACTTACTTTACCTTAATGCTTTTTGCTTTTCTGCTTACAATGTTTCTGGAATGAATATTAAGTATCAATGGGGTTTATTGCTTCATAGTTCTGTGATTTGTTACCAGGTTTCATTGTCGACGTGAGATTGATAGTGTACACTGGAATATAGACTAACTGGGTGAAATTATTTGTTCTTTTTTTTAAGTGTTTATGTTATTAGGAAGGTATCTGCAGATGCGGACGAAGATGAGAATCCGTCAGTTGGTGAACTCCAATGCAATATACCACATGCTTCTGACCCTATGACCGTCGTATCAGAAATTTTATCCGATACCAAACGGTTCGAGTCTCCTACTCAAGAGTACCGTATTCTTGAAAATAAGTGTGCTTTTGGTGAGTATTCTGTTGATTTGCATAGCAGTCAATTTTTTTTCAAACTTCTCAAACCTTTTAGTCCTCAAGTTTTCGAGTAGTTTTTTAAATTTCGTTTACAATGGCAATCGAATATTAGTATTGAAAGTTATACTAGATGATATGTTCACTCCAATTTGCTCGTTTTACGAAGGTGAATGTTCACTATTGCAAACTAACTGGAAACTAGGTCAAGTTCGTTATACTCTGTCGTCTGTGCGACTTGCAGGAAAGTCTCCGTTCTCCCTACCGTATGTGAAAGTAGCTCAGTGGGTGCCGCTCGCGCTAAAACCTTGAAAAACATCATCTCTGTTTTCTTGAAGAAGTCTGACAACGGGACTTGTTCCTCTTCTAGCTGTACGGCTGACATTGCATGGATCTCACTCGGCACTAATCCACTGATTTTCGTTAAGACGCATTTAGTGTGTGACTTGCCTGGTTTTCGACGTATACAGCGGCGTCTCTTATCTTTCATCGCTGACGTTAGTTGGAATTTCCGGTCTCTGGTTCCACTTACGCTATGTAGAGTATTAATCCCAGTATTGTTCCCTTGATTGCGCTTTCGATTGTGATGGTTAGTTCTTCGTTTTCCTTACATAGTATCCATGCTTCTGATATGTAAGTTAAAGCAAGAAAAATCGTTGAGTCCGTAAAGTTGACGCTTACTGAGAGCTCCTTATCTTTTTAGTTACATCCATGATGCTTTTAAAAACTCGCCAAGTTGTTGACTTTTCACATACACATACTTGAAGTTTTCGGAATATACAAAACGTTGAGCCTGCATGGGGAATTAGAAACGAACCCTATCCTCATGAATATCGTCTTTTTGAGGTTCAAAGGAAGGCCAGTTTTTACACAGTCGTTGCTAACACCAGCCAGTATTGGTTCAGTGTGGTCACTGCTGTAAATATATACGTATATATTAATATATATATATATACAAATATATACATATAGCACACATGTATGTAATATGTGTAGTGTGTATATACGTATAGTATATGTATATATATTTATATATAATGTATAGTACTGTGCGTCATTGTTATGTATACGATAACACCAGTGAAGCAAATGGGGCATAGCCACTAATCACTGATTTCAAGTCACATGTTGTTCATAGGGCAACGTAGCGCAGTAGCTGAATGTGCTCTACAGTAGGCGCGTGGCCGTTGGTGCAGTCATCCCGGACCAACCAACCCTTAATCTTTCTGAGTTCCTCCCACGACCGACTTTCTATTAACCTCGGCATTGATCAAGTAATTCTTCGTATTTTTGTTGAGCAAACGCGAGGTGTTATTATTCTTTATTCACAAATGAGCTGACGTTTCGGCGGATGTCGCCTTCCTCAGAGCCTGGAAAGGTCAAGTTGACAGCAATCTACTTGGCCAGACGCCTCCATAACCAAACAAAGAAACTCTAAACCAAGATTTCACTCACATTGAACACAGCTTTGCACACTCACCGCTTTCTATGAGGTCTCCACTAAGTATGTCACGTAGAGACCAACCGCACAGAAATCACATGGAAGTATAATGTACCCCACTCATCAGAATAGCAGTCTTATATACTGCCCTACATCACGCGTGATAATGAGGCATTCTTCCCTGCGGTTCATTTTCGGATTTCTGGAATTAATCCAGAGTGCCTCGAGAGTTTTTCGCGCCTGTGTTCTTGATTCGCGTGCAAGGGTCGTGACACATACTTCAAAGTCCTCCCCGTTATGTCTCTGGGTCCTATGCGTAGCTCAGGATAGGTGTAGGGGAAATCCTAGGCCTCCAGACAACAACTCTAGCGATAGAAGGGTCCCGTTTATCCTACC